ACTCCCCCCGCCCCGGGGGCAATCAACTCCACCGCCTGCAGGGCCATCCCGGCCAGGGCCTCCGCCGCGAGCGCCGAATCCGCGGTGCGATGGAGGGGGGAGCCGCGGTGGAGCGAGGCGAGGTCCGACATCACCCGCCCGCACTGCGCGTAGGCGTGGCGGTGCATTAAATAGCGATATAACCCGATGATGGCCCGACGCCGCGCGGCCTCGGCCGAACGCGAGGTCACCAGCCGGGCGATGCAATTGTACCACTTCCCCACCAAAACCTCATCCAAGCGGACGGTGCGGGTGCTGACGCCGAGAAGGGCCTCCATGTGGGGCTCGGAGCTGCACGCGCAGGCGATGACGCGATCCACAATCAGGCTCGACGTCTCCAGATACCGCTCTAAAATGCCAAGCGTCGCCGATCGGTTATAGGCATCCTCGAGGTCGTGCAGGCTGCTGTTAAAGTCGAAATCCGCAAGACTCGCGTAGGAAAGGCAAAACAGCACCTCAACCCGAAGCTCCTCCAGCGCAAACTGAAGGAATGGCGCGGATAGGGAAGTCGCGAGCGCAGACCGTTTGAGGTCCACAACGCCCGTCGCCTTGAGGGCCGCCGCGGAATCCCCCTCTGGGCTTATCTTGCGTAGGGTCGGATGAGTTGGGGGAGAATTCAGGGGCGGCGCTGACGGCGAGCACGCAAGCACGCGTTGGAGGACAAAAAGTAGCTCGACGAGGTAATATCGATGGACTATCGCCGCGGAAACGTGCATTACGAGGGAGTCTGTCGGAATAAGGCGACGGAGAACCCCAATGGCGTACAACTTGACCGCCAGACTCGGCTCCTTTTCGATCCAACCTCGTAGCTCCTCACGCTGCGGCGCTGAGGTGAGCATCGCATGCCAGGCGCTGCTGTGGTTCTCGTCGGACATCAGCAACTCAAGGTCCAGCAGCACGTAGGCCAGGTCGCCACCGTTGTTGAAGGTGCTCAGGCTATGGCTTATTGTTTGGCACATGGCGAGCTGATGGCCGCTGTGGGTCGTTCGCCCCGCGTGAAGGTCATGCAAAAGGGTGTAATGCTGAAGAATGGGATTCCAATGGCGGAGCTGGGCCGCCCAGGCCGCCGCGGCCTTCAACAGGCGCGTGCCGCCCTCCCGCCGAAGCCGCGCCGCGATGCGGAGGACAAACCGGGAGGACTCCAGCGCGTCCACCACGTGGGTCACGAGGTCGTAGGGGAAGGGGTATAAAAATATCCGAAGAATCGACCCGATGAGCTCGTCCGTCGACTTCACGACGACGGCGTCGGCGAGGCGGGCGAGATCGGGCCCGGCGATGCAGACAGCGTGGTAGGCCGCGGCCAACACGGCGATCGCCCGCGTGAGCTCCGAGGTCACGGGGCTCTCCAGCGCCCCCGCCCCCGTCCCCGCCCACCCGACAAAGGCGATGGCCAAAAAGGCCAGGCGGTTGAGGAGCTCCCGCAGCACCGCGTGCAGGACGTAGCGCCGGCTGAAGCTGAAAAAGAAGACCCCCGGCGTGGTCAGGACGCTCGGGAGGGAGTGCGCGGAGGAAAGGCCTGGGATGGAAAACTGAAGCTCGGCCCGCATCGCCTCACGGATGGTGATCCGCACGGTGGCCTCGGAGACTTTCCCGGAGGGGGCGTAGCCCGCGAGGGCCGCATCGCTGAGCAACCGAGGCAGCGACGGCAAACGGCCCGAAAGGGGGAGTTTGAAGGCCTCGCTAAGAATCGCCGACAAATTCTCCATCCCACGTCCGGTGACCTGCAGAATCGACAAGCCCTCCCAAAAGGTGATGCACGACGGCAACCGAGAGAGCACGGAGATGGTTTTGCTGTCCAGGCCAGTTGTGGAGACCAGACATAACGATCTGGATGGCAAAATCTGATCGGCCGAGGCTGCCATCACATCCCCAACGGCAATTTCAGCGCCGGCGTCAATATCGCTTAGAGTACCCAGCTGATGGACCTCGATAAGGTGCTGAAGCCAATGGCTCGCAAATTGAACAACATAAACACGGTGATAGTCAAGCCGGTGCTCCAACAGCATCAGATGAGGACCGTGGCTGATAACACCGCTAAGAGAGGCGCCGATGCACAAAAATGTGTTGGTGGAAGACCATTGCCACCGCTTCTCGGGGCCTAGATAAGCCTCCAGTATCTGTAGAGCGCCCGAGACATCACAATAGGGATGTAAGGCTGATCGTATTGAGCGCAAACTCATCAAGTGAGAGTCCTCCTCATCGCCAAGGTCCCACACAACCGCCAAACGCTCTGTGGAATCCACGGTGCACCCAATTGGAAATCCGCCTGAAACGGGAGGTAGAACGTTGTAGGAACATCGCAACGCAAACTTATCTTCCTCATGACGTAACATACTCGGCAATCGCGACCACACAAACTGTCGATTTTCCTGCGTTCCGAAACAAGTGAAAATATGAATGGAGGACGCCTCCTTGTTATACGAGGACCATTGCTGCACAAGTGTGAAAAGAAGAGGTGGTTTAGGCGGAGGAATAGAGTTGCCACCTACTGCCGTTATGATTTCACCCAGAAGTAAATGGCATATGGGGTAGTTTTCTAGCAAATTCAGATCATGATCATATAGCTCAAACATGCCGTTCCACCGAAGCAAGCCGATATATGAAGAATTTTGAATAGCAGTTATGGCTGCGTATTTGAGCTCAAGCATGTTGACACCATAGTTCGTCTTGGTGTCGCTGCCACCGCTGAGTCCCATTTTTCTGTTCTTGTCGCTTGAGCTGAAAAAACGGCCAATCCAGCCTTTGGGGGTGTTTTTTAAAGATTCTAGTTCGGTTCGATTAACCATGTTTTGGCACTGGGTAGGAGTAATATCAGACAAATCCGTCTCATTCAACCAATTTGCTGTTTCCTCTCTGTAAGAATTTTCTTTGAAAGGATGTGCCTGGACACTGTGATTAGAATACAGTTTTGCATGCCATAATGATATGCCGTTTGTCAGGGCAAATATCGCGACCACATCGCAGCAACTTTCGGGGATTTCAGAAAGAACACATGCACGAAGATCGCAATAGTCGCTATCACCGTGTGAGACACTGCTAGCCTTAAAAAATGCGGTAGAATCCTTGGATTGATTGTCATGCGGCGGCTGTGTAAAGGGTACTAAGTCGTTAGTACAGCCCTTGGGATGGACAGACGATAATAATCTACCAACACCAAAGCTTCCGCCACCGTGCTGTCGGTCGTGGCTAAAAGCATTTTTAATACGCGTTAGATAAATCCCCTCGACGATAGGCCCTTCCGGGGTGAGCACGATCGTCCCCCGGGAGTCCATATCCCGTTGAAGCGAAATGCGCAGGTAGCCCACCTCGAGCGCGGTGGAGATCCAGGTCAGGGCGAGGTCGCTTTCCCCCCGCGCGAGCCGTGTGAGGCCGCAGGCCAGCAGCCCCTCGCCCCTCTCCAAGACGGGAAGCACCACGCTGAGCATGCGGGACTGGCCATCCCGCGCCTCCGCGGCGCAGGGGTCGCTGTTGAGGGCGAGCAGATGTAACTGAGGCCGCCCCCGCCCCTCCCACCACCACCCCACCACCACCCCCAGCCCGGGCAGGACCAGGGAGCCGTTGGCGTTAAAAGGGGGGGGAAAGGACGAGGAAGGGGCAGGGGCAGGGGAAAGGGAGGGGGGGCGGACTCGGACCACCGTGTTGGCGTCCGATTCGTCGAAGAATAGGGTCGGGATCATGAGGGGGTCGCACGTGGGAGAGGGGATGGGGATTCGGTTGGGGTTACGGCCGATGGGTACTACAAGATGTTTTCTTGGGATTATGGGAAAATAATAATAATAAGGGATAAAGAAAAGGTATGAGGTGATAAGTTACAAGATTCTTCATGATTTGGAAAATAAGCATGCCTTACAGTAACTCCGTGATCCATATCAATGGTTGCATCGCATTATGAGGCAGAGTACATATCATGGCTTGTTCTTCCCTCTTTTTATACTTGGATATAAATGTACATAAAAATGCATGACCAGTTATTTAAAAAAAATAATCAGGATCCAGGTGCTATTCTCAAACATATTCTGAATTACGGTATGCTTACATTTCACAAAAGACGGAAATCTATTTTTTAATTTCCTTCCTTCTCATAGGTGAAAAGTGAAGGCCAAGCAAACACTATTCAATGCAATGATTGGTTAATTGTTTTTTTCACTACAATGTTCGGAAATTTTGTGTGTTTCGTTTTATTTGTTTTTTGGGGTAGATCTTTCAACATGGTTGCTTTGATTAAATCAAACTCAAGGGGGGAAATGAAATAATTGCGCTGTAAGATAGTTGATTACAAAACCAAAGGTGTGTACCCTACACACAAATAACAACTGTAAATGCATAAATGTTACACCTTCGAACAAATATTTGATCAATTCCGTAATGAATTTCAAGGACGTTAATAATACACTCTTATTGGGAAAAAAAAAGAGCAAACATAAATGTTTAATTGAAAAGATTTATGTAGTGTAGATATTTCACTCACCCCCTACATACAAATACAAACATCCTAATATTGTACAAAACCAAGACGTTATGAATGATGCCTAATCATATGAAAGATTCTTTATTGTCTGGGGAAAGTTAACTAATGTAACAGTTCATCCTATTTTTTTTTTAAAAAGTGTGCGTGTATATTTCAGCCTGACTGAAATTGTAATTAGTGTAATAAAGGATTCCATACTTGTGGGGGAAAATTTTTTTAAGCATCAGATTCTTCTATTTCATGGGTAGCAAATTTAGACTCCTGCTCCAGCCGGTTCTTGATGGCAGAACTGAATACACCAGATTCGGTACTCCCCAAAAGAGAGGGATTTGTGCAACTATCCACTCGCATATTGCATGAGTGTTTGAGCAGCATCAAATCAGTTTTGCTACGTATAACGCCCTGATGACTTTCCATCTCATTTCGAGCGTTCATATAGCGGCGAAGGAGAATCTCTAACTCCTGCTGCCGGGCGCGCTCAAGAAAAAATCGACGACTCTCGATTCGTTTACGAAAGGCAAGTAATTTTTGATTTTGACGATGCCGCAGGGCGTGCTCGCGATGCGCGAAAAGTGCCGCCTTAGATTCCTCAAAGCGCCTGAAATCAAGCGCGTCGATGGCGTCGGCTTTCCGCTTCTCCACCTCGGCGTCGACATAATTCTCTTGTCGCGCAAGCGACTGTTGGCGCATTCGCGATTGGATCAAATCGCGACTATATCGTAGAAGCCGCGGCGAAGAGTCCCAGATCTCCTCACGAAGCTTTATCAATTCATTATTTTGGCGCTCTAACAATCGAATTTGGTCCCCCATCATCTGTTTGTCGATCTCCGCGATGCGCGAATTCCACACTCGGTGGAATTCACGAAAATCCTTGCGGTACAACTCCTCCAAGACAGCACGATCGCGCATCTGCGCCTTGGTCATCTCATCCACATGGTAGGACTCCGCATCCAGCCGAAGTCGCCGCAAGACCTGCTGAATAAAATCCGCGCGCCGGTACATCGCCAGGTTCTGGCAGGCCTTTTGGTACTCCCGCAAGGGCTGGACGTAGGGATCCATCTTCGCGAAGATCGCCCGATCGCAGCTATCGTGAAGGAAGATCTGATCCAACACCGCACAGGCGCGGGCTTCGATCGCGGTAAAGCCATTCCCCAGCGGGTCGCGCGGGGTCGCCAGGCTGGAAAGTTCGTCCTCGGAGGCCGGGGGAATGGGCCGCACGATCACACCATTCTCCTGTCCCTCCCCTTCCCCCAACGCGGAAGGGGATCGCAAAGGGGAGGTAAAAACCTCATTCCCCCCCCCCCCCTCGTCCGACGTCTCGCTCGTGCTCAATTCGTCCTGATCGGATGTAGACTGTGGTGGGTTGGGTTGGCAGTTCGCGGGGAAGGACCGGCCGAGGTCGGTTTCGAAGGCGCAATAACGGGAAGAGCCCTTAAGGGGGGTTGAGGAGGCCGCCAAAGACCCCCTGGTTGGGGCTGATTGAGGATAATTAGTCGGATCACTCATAAGGATCACCTACTCTTGAACATACATAGATCGGTTACTTATTGGGGTAGGTTGTGGTTGATTTGGGGGGGGTATCCACCAAAGCGGAAAAAAAAAGGAGAGAAAGAAAGAGGGAAAAGGAATAAAATATAAGATTGGATTCGAAAGGTGACAACACACAAACGAAGGATACCTAAGTCAGCTCTGGGGTTTGCGGTGAGGCATTGTGACCAATGGAAAAAAAAATGCCGTGCAACCTTTGGTAACCATGACAATGATAGCATTTTGAAATCAATTGCATTTTTTTTAAAGATCATATGAAAAGTAATGAAAACTTAATAATAAATAAACATAAAAGGGCACATAAACTAATTATCCTTTCCCATCTCAACTTAATCAAGCCGAAACCTTACAGTGTAAATCTAACTTTAATGCAACTCGTGGTGTGCACACGTTCGGTGCAGCGTTGCCGATGGTCAAACACCCTCACCAAAAGTTGTAGAATTAAGAACGCCGGCGTGAGGCAAAAAAAAAATCGGGAAATTCGATTTAAAACAAGAATCCAGGAGACATCTAATGAAGAATTAAAGTATTAACCCTATAAAGGCTATCTTGGATTAGTTGGTGGTTTTGTGGATATGTTTGTCTCCATAAAATATTAATAAAGTTTTATATTACAATAGTCGTAAGCATTTAATCCTTTTCATGTTTAAGAGGAAAAGTGGTAGAAACTAAGTACTTGAGAACTTTAGCTCAAAGTAAATTTCTGATAAAATTATAAAAAAAAGCAAATGGGTAGAAAAATGACATGATAGTGAAATCAATGAAGTTTATTCATCTTCAAACAGTGATTTGGTCATATCACGCTTTTTTCTCCTTAACTCAAGTTTTGAGAACATTTAAATAATGTAGTTAGACTCGTGAGCACTGAACAGAAAAGCCTTTCAATGCGTGCAAAATGAAATATGGGAAAGTGGTGGGAAGAAATCCCATCGAATAACAAATACAATAATTAAACAGATAAATTTTAAAATTAGTGACTTTAAATAAGATTCATAATAAAACTTGTATTAAAATAAAGTTTTACTGTTTCAGGACGGTAAACAAAAGGAGCAAAATTACATTCTACTGTTAAATAGAGAAGAAATCGACATTAATATATAAA